ATAGCCCGGTTAGCACTAAGCCATTCAAATTTACTGAATGTACACTTGAGCAAACATATTTCCATATGCTCAGTGTCTAAAGACTACTTCAGTCACAGTCACCAGCTTGGACTTTTGGCGTCTGTTTTGGCAGCTGCAAGGTAAATGGATAACGTATCATTAAATTTCTAGAACGTAAGCTCTTAATTTAAGCTGACACTCCATTTGCACTAATTGACTGTTGGAGGTGCCATTTTTTTGAATGAGGAATTAATCATGGCCATGCCTAGCCCCTCATGTGGGCATAAAAGATCCTACTGTATTACAACAAAAAAAGACTGGATAAGTTCTTCCAGTGATCAAGCCAGCATTTATCCCTCAATCAACATCGGTCTGTGAAAGGGACAAGTCCTTTTCCTCTGTGTCAGTTTTAAGCAAATTGCCCGTCATCCCACGAGCTGAACTATTGAACTAAACCGTAGCTTGCACTCACAGCTCTGAAGATCTCCCTTGACTGTGAATCATTTCTATCCCCAGGCATTTGCCAATATCACTTGATAACTGGCATTAAAGAGGCTGTTGAGAGCAACCTGGAGTGACACTCCATTGCATTCTCATCACAAACTGTAGTACTCCAACCTATTTTTCTCAAGATCAGATCAGCCAGAGCAGATGATGAGCAATCTCAGACACAAACTCATATTCACCCACTCTTAAACTGGGACTTCGCTGGGTTATGCAATCTGTCAATATAGAATCATAAAAAAAGGTTTAGAACAATACAGCATAGAAGGAGGCTTTTCAGCCCATCGTGTCTGTGATCATGCTTTTCAAGAGCATCAAATTAGTCCCACTTCCTCATGCTTCTCCGTTATCTCTGAAATTGAAGATTAAAGATTACAATTGATTATGTGTCCGCTCCCTCAATCCCCACCTCGGCATCAGACAGTGCTTTCTGCATCCCAACCACTCTTGAAAGAGAAAAAAAAGTCACATCATCTGTGATAGTAAGAACTGCCGATGCTGGAGTCAGAGGTAACACAGTGTGGAACTGGAGGAACACAGCAGGCCAGGCAGCATCAGAGGAACAGGAAAGCTGATGTTTCGGGTCAGGACCCTTCTTCAGAATTTCTTAAAAGAAACTTATCTTCTTTATCTGAAGAAGGGTCCCGTCCCGAAACGTCAGCTTTCCTGCTCCTCTGATGCTGCCTGACCTGCTGTGTTCCACTAGCTCCACAATGTGTTAGCACATCATCTGTGATTATTTTGCTAATCTCCTTAGATCTGTGACCTCTTGTTATCAACTCATCAGTCTTTGGAAACAGCTTCAAAGACTTCCAAAATTTTTACACATCTCTAACAAATCTCCTCAGCCTTCTCTGCTCCAAGGAGAGCTCTCACTTCTATAACTTAACCCCTCATCCGAGAAAGCATTCTAGTAAATCTTTGTCTTCCAAAGCTTTCGCCTTCTCCCTAACGTGCGATGCCCAGAATTGAGCATAAAATTCCAGCTACAGCCATACTACTGTAGTTTATAGATCTATTTTAGCAACTTGTTTTTGGACTCTCTGCCTTTTTATATGTACATATATATATATATTTGCCAACATTTTTTATCCTATCCTACAGCCTCAAAGATTTGTGCCCACACACAACAGATGTCTCTGTTCCTCAATTCCCTTTAAAATTGTACCATATATTTTGTGTTGTTCCTCCTCATTTTTCCAGCTGAAAGTGTATCACTTCAAATCTTTCTGCCTTAAATTTCATCAGTCATCTGTCAATTCACTTCACCAGCCTCCGTATATCTCTTGAAGTCTAGTACTCTCTTCCTTAGTGAAGACAACACTTTTTAAGTCTAAGTTTTGAGTCATAGAGAATCATAGAATCTCTACAGTGTGGAAGCAGGCCAATCAGGCATTTGGGTCTACACAAACCCTCCAAAGAACAACGCACACAGGCCTTTCCCCCTACTCTATCCCTGCCTTTTCCATGGCCATTCCACCCATCCTGGGTGATTTAGCATGGCCAATCCACCTAGCCTGCACATCTTCAGACTGTGGGAGGAAGGCAGAGCGCCCGGAGGAAACCCACGCTGACACATGGGAGAATGTGCAAACTCCACCCAGACAGTCGCCCGAGGGTGGAGTTGAAACCAAGTCCCTGGCACTGTGAGCCAGCAGTGCTAACCACTGTGCCACCGTGCCACTGTCTGCAATGTTTGAAAGGTAGAGGAGTGAGTTCTGCGCAGAACAAGAAAAGGACAATTTAAAAATAGAGGACGCAACATGTTCGACTGCAACATGACACTGAATTTCTGGCACTTGAGGAACTGACCAGCATCACTATATCCAAGAGAATGTCTATATTTATAACACACTGTCATCTTTCTATCGGGTTGGATTTTCACTTGAGCTCTTCAACTTTGCTCTCGCAACTTTAAGGACATTGTGAAATGTAAGCTTTTTATATAGAAAGATCCAGTATATGGACATCAAGAACACTGAAGAGATATTAACAGAATCTGAGAACTTGGTGAGATAGTGTAGGACTAACTGTGACAGGGCTGAACATTGTAGTGACCAGAATCTATCAAGAAAGTGCCTTTTAAAAAAACACATAAAATAAGCAATGAGGTGCAAAGGACCCATATCAGTTATTTAGTTCACCTTTAAGTGAATTATTTTCACTAGTTTTAAAGATATTTAAAATTGCCTTTATACAAGCAAGATTGTGTTACTGCATCATCTCAACGACAAATACCAATTCTTTGAAACACTGACGTATGTTTTTAGTATGGTTGTTAAATATGAAAGGCCATGCATTTCTCTGTTTGAGTTTGAAGTGCAATGAAATTTTATTTCACATATGATTAAACTCTAGAACATGAGTATGAAGTAAACACAATTCCTATTGTTTATTGTTTTGTTTTCTTTATTCATTCATATGGGCACTGCTGGCTAAGCTAGCATTTATTGCCCATCCCTAATTGGCCAGAGAGCAGTTAAGTGTCAGTCACATTGCTGTAGGTCTGGAGTTGCATGTAGACAGGACCAGGTAAGGATGGCAGATTTCCTTCCAAAAGGGACATGAGGGAACCAGATGGGTTTTTTCCCCTAATAATCAAAGCTCATCACTAGACTCTTAATTCCAGGTTTTTAATTGAATCCAAATTCCACCATTGGCCGTAGCAAGATTCGAATCTGATCCCCAGATCATTACTGGGGTCTCTGGATTAATAATGTAGTGATAATATCACCAGGCCAGTGTCTCCCCTGTGAGCTGTCATCAAGCCATCAGATATTTGTTGATGAAAACCCATAGCCAACCCTATTTACTTGACAGATTTATGTCTATAATTAAGTTGGTAACACACAATATGCAAGGGGGTGGGTTTTCTCTATTTTAGCCGCCCACTCCTTTACAGCTGGTCAGATGCAACACTGTTTTCTGATATAAGGGAAAAATTATTATGAGCATTATGAACTTTTAAATATTTAAGGCACTCATAAGTTTCTTTTGATTAACCTGTTTAAAGTCAATGGATTGGTAACACATTCTTAAAAATAACAGATCGAGGAAGCTGATATGATGCATACTGATCTGTAAATTCAAGCACAAATTAAACTTTAGGCAGACAGGAGGGTGCACTCATTAGAAAATGGTCGTGTGCCTACTCTTCGACATCAAAATTGACTGAGATCAATAGATTGGCAAACAATACCCATGCCTGAAATCTACACTTGTAGGAAGTGATGGCCCAGTGGTATTATCACTGGACTGTTAACGCAAAGACCCAGATAATATTCTGGGAACGTGGGTTTGAATGCCACCACCTCAGATAATGGAACTCGAATTGAATAAATATCTGGAAGTAAGATGAATCCATTGTTGATTGTTGGAAATACCCATCTGGTTCACTAATGTCCCTTAGGGAAGGAAACTGTCATTTTTACCTGGTCTGGCCTACATGTGACTCCAGACCCACAGCAATGTGATTGACTCTTAACTGCCCTCTGGGCAATTATGGATGGGCAATAAGTGTTTCCTGGCCAGCGGTGCTCATATCCTGTGAATGAATAAAGGATTTAGATGCTATCCTCATTCCAGAATTTTCATTCCTGAGCCTAAATGTTCATTTGGTAGAATGTCCATCAACGTTTATTTATGTCTTGAATTACCTACAGAAATTTTCAGTACTGAACAATGCAGGATGATTTGAAGCAGTGTTTGTCAAATATTTGCAATGTTTGCCACCTCTGGGCTTCACCAAAAGCCTCCCTTACTGCTGTGTTGTACAATGGTCAGTAAATTATAGACTGAATCATCAAAATCCCCACTTTTGCCTGAGGGTTGGTCAATATTCAAGCAAAAGACTGTGAAAGTAATGGTTTCACTGATTGGGTTGCTTCTTTTTCCAGACATAGTTCAATCCTGGTGGAGAAACTCCAAAGAAAAATGTCTTGGAGAAAAAAACAATTACCTCCATTATAGCTCATTGTGTAAATGCATCACCTTTTTGTGCAGTCTGAACATATTTGATATCCTCTGTCAGCAATGAATTTTCTGACTTTAGATAAAACAATGAAAGAGGCATTATCATTGACTTCTGAGACTCAGAGGTTTGGGGAGTGGTCAAAAAACATCAGAGTTTCTGCCTCAGATTGCTGATGACTAAGGTAATTATGACTAAGAAGTGCAATTATAGACAGAAATCAAATTTATCAATGACATGCTCTTCAAAATTTATGAGCTGTCATTACTCATGTTCAAGCTGGAGTAGTGTATGGTGTCATTGGTTAACCAGTACCCAACCATATCCTCCAATTATGCCAAAGCCTTTGGGATAGAAGGGCAGAAAACGTGGAAGACCTTTTTTTTGTACAATAGTTGAATTACATCTTGTGTCTAAACCTTTACCGAGTTTTGTTAGACCTGTCCAAAAGTGGTTTACGATTAGCAAATTCACACCATAACGCTGATGTCTAGGTTGTTTTATCCCATTTGTAATTTTTTTCTAGGAATCACCACTGTGCTGACCATGACAACCATCAACACCCATCTGAGAGAGACCCTTCCAAAGATCCCCTATGTCAAAGCCATCGACTTGTACTTGATGGGCTGCTTTGTGTTTGTCTTCTTGGCCTTACTCGAATATGCTTTTGTCAACTACATCTTCTTTGGGAGAGGTCCACAGATGCAGAAGAAATTGGCAGAGAAAGCAACTAAAGGCAACAATGGTCGACACAAGTACGAAGGCAACAGGGTAAGAGAAAACAATATTTTCCTGTTGCGTGGGATGTGCTGCAATTATTCTTCCATTTACCTTTCTCATTGAGTGTCACCCTGTACATTTGAAGCCAAAAAGACCAATCTCCCCTTTATTGGTCAGAGTAAATAGGCCTGCAATGAGAAGGATGGTTGGACAAATTGAATACATGGATGACTGATCAGCTGCCACAGCTGAAAGTTGATATCAATTCTCTGTAAAACATGCATGTGCCTGGGGCAAAGGGTTATCTCAGAGAAAAGAAAGAGGTCCAGACTTCCAGAAATACAAGTTGTTGCTGAAATAATCAAGACCTTTATAAAGGAACTGTATAAATATCAAGTTCAGATTTTGTTTTGTGGATAAAGTATGCACAGATAATTCTCATTACCAGTTTGTATGATGAATGTCTTTTAGCCTGCTTGTTTCTTACAGCCTCTACTACGGAATCTCTCTCTTTTCTGAGTGCCCTGGCTTTTGCTGTGTACCAAACTCCTAGTAAAGAAATATTCCCTGACATTTGATCTAAATTTACCCGTTGCAGCCCGATATCCTTGCCCTTGTCATTTGCTGTCTGAAAGCATTGTTCCAGGCCAGCAACACCTCCACTATTGGATATCAGATATACTACAATAGCATTTCTGAATGTCTCTGTCTCTGTTCAAGGCTGAAGTGCCCTAACTCATCAGGAAATTCCTTAAACTCTCTTCCGTCCGACAGTTACTCTGTTTGTGTGCCTGGTGCTTCTTTTATGTGAGAGTGAGCGGAACTCTGTGGACCACTCACTGCAGGGATGTATAAACCTTGTAGCATGACATCAGCAGTTTTGAAATCCTCTGGTTTATCAATGGAGCCTATCGACCTGGTAAATTTATGTAATGTTGCCTGACATTGTTTGGACTCAAAATAAGGGGGAGCAGAATTAGAACTGAGCTAAGGAGGAACTTCTTCATCCAAAGGTTGCGAATATGTGGAATTCCCTGCCCAGTGAAACAGTTGAGGCTTCCTCGTTAAATGCTTTTAAAGCAAAGATAGATAGATTTTTGAACAGTAAACAAATTAACAGTTATGGTGAGAAGGAGGATAAGTGGAGCTGAGTCCATGAAAAGATCAGCCATGATCTTGTTGAATGGCGGAGCATGCTTGAGAGGCCAGATGGCCTACTCCTGCTCCTATATCTTATGTTATGTTCTTATGTAGAAGCTGATCTGGAGACGAAGTGCAAGAATCCATCCTGCAATAGATTGAGCATACTCTGGGGAAGAGGCAATGCCTTCTGGGTCATAACTATAGCATGCTGTGCCAAATTTCAGATTGGCAAGGTAACAAGGTGGTAATTTAATACAAATACAAAAGGTGTATAGTGGAATTAAGCTGAGCAAGCAATGGGAGGCACCAAGTTCTAATGATCAAACTGGTTTAAAAAGGATTAAACTCTGTCAGTGCTGTCAAATGTATGAATGGTTGATTAATGCCCATTCAGTCCACTCTTGACCATCAATAAAGTCCTTCAGTGTAGTCCATCTTCATCTGTTTCATCAATGATCTCCCCTCCATCACAAGACCATTATGGGGCTGTTTGCTGATAACTGCACAATGTTCAGCACCATTCATGACTCCTCAGATACTGAAATAGTCAATTTGGGCTGATAAGCAAATGACATTCATACCATACAAGTAGCAGGCAATGACTATTTCCAACAAGGGAGAATCTAATCATCTTCTCCTGATATACAATGGCATTACCATCACTGAATCGCAACTATCAACATCCTGGTGGTTACCATTGACTAGAAACTGAGCTGAACCAGCTACATCAATGCTGTGGCTATAAGAGTGGGTCAGCAGTAAGAATTTTCATGGTGAGTAACTTACCTCCTGTCCTCCCAGCACCTCTCCCCAATCGACAAGTGATAAATGTTCTTGACCTGCCTGGATAAATGCAGCTCTCACAACAGTCAAAGCTTAATACCATGCTGCGCAAAGCAAGCCACTCGATTGGCACATCATCAACCACCTTCAACATGCAGTCCGTCCACCACAATGCACAATTGTCTACCATTGACATGATATGCTATAAAAATTCACTAAAACTCCTTCAGAAGCATGTTCCAAGCACATAACCTGTCCCATCTGGAAGGACAAGGGCAGCAAATGCTTGGTAATACCACAGCCAATAAATTTCTCTCCAAACCAGACACAACCCTGACTTGGAACTATATAGCTGTTTCCTTTATTTTCAGTCGCTAAAGATCATGAATTCCCTTCTGAGCACAATTACTTGTGCATCTACCTCCTCCCAATAGAATTAACTGTTCAAGAAGACAGCTCACCACAACTACCTTCTCCAGGGCAATTAGGGATGAATAATAAAAGCTCACCTAACCAGCCACAACCACAGCACATGAATCAATAAAAACAAGGCTCTGTATGCACTCCATGCCAAGGTATGCCACTTCCATGCCTATTCACTCACTGTAACATCTTGTGATGTCAAGGTCCCCAAGCCTATGGGTATAGTTCTAGAAAATGGGTTTAGAATAGTTCGGTGGTGGTTTTTGACCAGCATGGATGCAATGGGACAATAGGCCTTTTTCTGTGTTGTGGATCTCTGTTACTCTCTGATCTTTACAGAAGCAGTGAATCCTACAGGTGCAGTTGAATATGTGAGAAATGCCTATAAAGAGGTGATTCATTCTTCATTTTTAGCAGTGCTTAAAAAAAATTGTTTCAATATAGGGAAATAAAAGTGTCATTCATCCAGGCCCTTCAAAGTTTCAATATTTGAAACCCACAAGCACTTGAAACTGTTTAACTTTCCAGATATGCAAAGACTTGTGAAATTGATTTGACAGTCAGAGCTATGACTGAAGCTATAGACCAGTTGCTTAATGAAGAGGGGTCTGATATGATTGACACTCATATTTTTACCTAACAAAACTTTAAAGCTGTGAACAAATCACTTTTTCTTTGATGTGTTTCTTATTTCTACATTGCAATGGTGTACAATGTCACAGCAGCCCAGAACTTACCACGCGTGAACAAACAGGCCACACACAAGAAACAGTTCCTTTTAAGATGTGTAGATGTAGACCCAATCTTGAAAGGACCATGGGTCGCTGGCAGCAGTGGAAAACTCAATGACATATTGTCTGTCATTTGTTTCAACTTAGATTAGTTTTGTGACATTGATTCCAGACCAAACAGGCCTGTAACTTTAAGTCAGACACATCTTGTCTGTTTTGTGACTTGTGATGTTCCAATCTAATGGTACCCACCTTATCTTCAGTCTCTCTCCCATATAATAGAGTCAGTGTAGCGTCTTCAGTCAGGTAGCTATAACTATGTAATATAGAATAATATCTGTAAGCAACGAACCCAGACTATGTGTCGGTCTGTAATATTGTAGCCATTTAAATAGTGTTATTAATAAACTTAATGGCATCGGTTCAACAAGAACCCAACTGTCTTTAGTATGTTTCACAGATTAATATGTACAAAGCTACAAAGCTCATCATGGTGGCAGTAAGTAGACAATAAAAGCTAGTTTTTACAACTAATTAGTGATAGTAGTAGCCTCTAAAGGCTGAAAAGTTGATAGCAATGTGGCAGTTGTGAAAAGTTTTTTTCTTAACAGTCATCATTCCTCATCACCTACCCAAATTCAGAGCCGAATTTGCAACTGCATCCAAGACCAAAGTGCTACACCAAAAATTAAAAGCTTCAAGTTTGTGCTTCAAGGGTACTGTACCTCTCCCTCTCTCTAAGAAAAGCAAATGAGAGGGTGCTGCTGAGCTGATTTTTAAAATGGCAGTGAAAAGCTGCCAGAAGTACAAATTCGACCAAAGAAAATGTTCTTAGAACAAAAGTCAGATTAAAAACAGGGAAAAATGTATTCTGCACCTGAAAGGAATTGCCTGTGTGCTGGCATTGGATGCTTTCGCCACGTTCTTTTTCCAAAATTGCACGAAAATAACAGAAAAGGCCTGTGTAATGTCATCACTGCTTCTTTCTTGTGGTCAATGCCACCCATAGGTGGAAACTTGAAACTTTTCAAGCAGCAGCAACTATTAAAACTGCAATAATTAAAAAAAAACAAAGAAGCCAACAAAAAGACACAAAACCACTATCAATACACATTCTTACACTGGCATGTTAGTACATGAAGTGACAAAAGAAAGATGAAAAGTAAACATCTAATCATGGACTGGAAGTCCATTGATATTCAGTCAGAATGCTAGATATATAAATAAATAATCAACCTTCACTTTCTTTGTCAGCCATCTACTCATCTAAAATGACTGACAGTCAAAAATTTTCTCACTTTGCACATTGAAGGCTTAAGAAGAATAAAATCCTGTAGTATTTCTGACCTGCAAAGATACTGACAATTCTTTTTTAAGATCTTTGAAGACCAACTTAAGTCCAGAGATAGTAAGAACTGCCAATGCTGGAGTCTGGGATAACACAGTGTGGAGCTGGAGGAACACAGCAGGCCAGGCAGCATCAGAGGAGCAGGAAAGCTGACGTTTCGGGTCGGGACCCTTCTTCAGAAATGGGGGAGGGGGAAGGGGGCTCTGAAAAAAATGGGGGGGGGGGTGGGGCTGGGGAAGGTAGGTGGGACGGTGATATGTGAGTGCAGGTAGGTAGTGGTAGGGATTGGTCATCGAGGTGGGAGGAACGGATAGGTGGGAGAGAAGACGGACAGGTCAAGGAGGCGGGGATGAGAGGTACTGGGTTAGGTAGGTGGGATGGCGATAGGTGAGTTCAGGTAGGCAGCCACCACTTGCCATCCCGCCTACCTGACCCAGCCCCTCTCATCCCTGCCTCCTTGATCTGTCTGTCTTCTCTCCCACCTATCCGTTCCTCCCACCTCAATGACCAATCCCTACCTGCACTCACCAATCACCGTCCCACCTACCTTCCCCAGCCTGACCCCCCCCCCCTCCTTTTTTTTTTAACCCCCCCTCCCCCCCCCCCCTTTCTGAAGAAGGGTC